TACAGTGTGTTCTGTGAAGCACTTTGGGACGTCCTCCCGACGTGAAAAGCGCTATATCAAATGCAAGGATTATTATTATTATTATAATAATAATGTAAATTTGTATTGTATCACAAATCCTCGGTTCACGATCCCAACAATTGAAGAACTGTTTGTCTGCCATGTTCTTAGACAGGATCATTCTATGTACGTTGTTATGGTTGACGACCGGGTCTGTCCAGCTTCTCGTGCACTACTTTGGCGATGTTGGCCTCTTGTAGGATTTCCTGTAATAGTTGTGCTATAAGTGTTATAGTGTGTAATGTTGAACAGTGGGTTTAACACTCTCTCTCAGCGGCAGTGGGTTTAACACTCTCTCAGTGGCAGTGGGTTTAACACTCTCTCAGTGACAGTGGCTTTGACACTCGCAGTGACAGTGGGTTTAACACTCTCTGAGTGAGTGGGTTTAAGACTCTCTGAGTAACAGTGGGTTCAACACTCTGAGTGACAGTGGGTTTAAAACTATTAGTGACAGTGGGTTTAACACACTCTGGGTGACAGTGGGTTTAACACTAACTGAATGACAGTGGGTTTAAGACTCTCTGAGTGACAGTGGGTTTGACACTCTTTGAGTGACAGTGAGTTTAACACCCTCTGAGTGACAGTGGGTTTAACACTCTCTCAATGACAGTGGGTTTAACACTCTCTCAATGACAGTGGGTTTAACACTCTCTCAGTGACAGTGGGTTTAACACTCTCTCAATGACAGTGGGTTTAACACTCTCTCAATGACAGTGGGTTTAACACTCTCTCAGTGACAGTGGGTTTAATACCCTCATGAGTGACAGTGGGTTTAACACTCTTTCAGTGACAATAGGTTTAACACACTGAGTGATAGTGGGATTAACACTCTCTGTGTGACAGTGGGATTAAGACTCTCAGTGACAGTGGGTTTAACACTCTCTCAGTGACAGTAAGTTTAACACCCTCTGAGTGACAGTGGGTTTACCACTCTTTCAGTGACAGTGGGTTTAACACTCTTTCAGTGACAGTGGGTTTAACACACTGATTGATAGTGGGTTTAACACTCTCTCAGTGACAGTGGGATTAACACTCTCAGTGATAGTGGTTTTAACACTTTCTCTCAGTGACAGTGGGCTTAACATTCTCTCAGTGATAGTGGGTTTAACACTCTCTCTCAGTGACAGTGGGTTTAACACTCTCTCTCAGTGACAGTGGCTTTAGTACTCTCTGAGTGACACTGAGTTTAACAATCTCTCTCAGTGACAGTGGGTTTAACACTCTCTCTCAGTGACAGTGGGTTTAACATTCTCAGTGACAGTGGGTTTAACACTCTCTAGCGACAGTGGATTTAACACTCCCTGAAGGATAGTGGGTTTAACACTTTCTCATTGACAGTGGGTTTAACAATCTCTCAGTGACAATGGATTTAACACTCTCTGAGTGACATTGGGTTTAACACTCTCAGTGACCATGGGTTTAACACATGTTGTGAGTGACAGGGTGTTTAACACTCTCAGTGACAGTGGGTTTGACACTCTCTAAGTGACAGTGGGTTTAACACTCTCAGTGACGGTGGGTTTAACACTATGAGTGACGGTGGGTTTAACACTATCAGTGACAGTGGGTTTAACACACTCTCTCAGTGACAGTGGGTTAACCCTCTCTGAGTGACAGTAGGTTGAACACTCTCAGTGACAGTGGGTTTAACACTCTCTCAGTGACAGTGGGGTTAAGACTCTCTGAGTGACAGTGGGGTTAACACTCTCTTAGTTACAGTGGGTTTAACACTCTCAGTGACAGTGGGTTTAACACTGTTAGTGACAGTGAGTTTAGCACTCCCTGAGTGACAGTGGATTTCACACTGTCTGAGTCACAGTGGGTTTAACACTCCCTCAGTGACAGTGGGTTTCACACTCTCTGAGTGACAGTGGGTTTAACACTCTCAGTGGCAGTGGGTTTAACACTCTCAGTGGCAGTGGGTTTAACACTCTCAGTGACAGTGGGTTTAACTCTCTCAGTGACAGTGGGTTTAACACTCTCTCAGTGACAGTTGGTTTATCACTCTCTAAATTTGATTAAAGTACACAAAATCTAATCCCCCCCACCCCCCTCAGCGAATCTGCCCTCTTGATTTGTACCCTGCTTAAAACTCCTACTGATACTGACATGAATTAAGACCACAACATGTCAATTTGCAGAGGAGGACAGTTTTAGGTATAATTTCTTGGAGTGATGGTAGATTCCGTGCAAGATTTTGACTGCTCAAGTAGGAACAAATTTCCCTCGCTGTTGACGTAGTTTAAGATTTCCCTTCTCTCCAAACTGATTCCTTGGTCTTTCTTAATTTTTGCTGATGTTTTTTAAAATATTCATTTAATGCTAGATTAATTCAATCTAGTGCGACTCCCCAGACTGAAGTAATACAGATTGGAACTGTCAACTGTAAAGATATTATTGAGCTCCTGAACATGTAACTAAACAGCAGCACAGTCAGGCAGCTCACAGCAACGGTCTCGCATTGATTTCACTCAGGGATTGTGGTTGTTTCTGCTTCACAGGGAATGTTTTATGCTTTTTATGTCCTTTTTATGTTGTGATGAAGAAATTGTTATTTCAGGAAGCGCGACGCTTTGTGCTAGCATTGTGTGTGTATGCGTTCGATGATTGAGTGTGAGAATTAATGAGTGCTATTTGAAGTGAATTTAACAGCCGATGGATGAAAGGCCTTTTTTNAATGGAGAATAGAATTGAAATGAAGGGTGAGCTGAAAGAAGTGTCATATAAATTGCCTTCATTTAAATTGGAACAAATCATTGGATATATGGAAACTCGCAAGATAGCTTTAGCTAGAAAAGTCAATCGAACATTTCAACAGAATATTTTTTAAAATATTAATAGGGTGTGTAGTCTTAATAATGAATTGAAGAAAATATTGAAATAGTAATAGCAATGATAATCTTTGTATTTGACATAGTGTATTTCACATCGGGAGGATGTCTCAAATCACCTCACAGGATTTACTATAAAGTGCATTACAATACCCCCCAACTACAGTACCCTCCAACTACAGTACCCGCCAACTACACCACCAGCTACAGTACCCCCCCCAACTATAACCGAAACAGCATTAAACCCAAGTACACCCCCAGTAACTTCCAACTATAGAACCCACTCCAACTACAGTAAACCCCAACTACAGTATCCCCCAACTACAGTACCCCCAACTACAGTACCCCCTTAACTACAGTACCCTAACTACAGTATCCCCCAACTACAATACCACCAACTACAGTACCCCCCCAACCACAGTATCCCCTAACTACCCCCCCAACTACAGTAGCCCCAAACTACTCCCCCAGTAACTCCCAACTAGAATCAACTCTAACTACAATACCTCCAACTACACCACCAACAACAACAACTTGCACTTATATAGCGCCCTCCATGCCTGGTGACATCTCAGAGCGCTTAACAATGGTGGAGAAGAAGATCGAGCCGGGGGAGGGGAAAGGTGACCATAGGCGCAGTCGAAAAAGAAGGTCTTCAGGTGCGACATGAAGATGGGAAGGAGGGGGCGAGGCAAAGGGGTTGATGGAGGGAGCTCCAAAGTTTTAGGGCATAGTGGCTGAAGGCATAGCCGCCGATGATGGAGAGGAGGATTTGGGGGACACGGAGGAGGCCAGACGCAGTAGAGCGGAAGCAGCAGGTACTGCTGTGGGGAGAGGTTAGCAAGATAGGGGAGTGCCAAGGAATGGAGGGATTTAAACACTAGGATGAGGATCTTGAAGTCGAGCTGCTCTGTGACAGGGAGCCAGTGGAGTTTGGCAAGGACTGGCGTAATCGGGGTACGAAGTTTGGTGCGGGTGAGAATGCGGGCGACGGAGTTTGTGGCACACCACCAACTACAGTAGCCCCTAACTACACCCCCAGTAACTCCCAACTATAGAACCAACTCCAACTACAGTACCCCCAAACTAAAGTACCTCCAACTACACCCCTATCTACAGTACCCCCGAACTACCGAAAGCATGGTCGAAGAAGAGGGTCTTGAAGGAGGCAAGTGAGGAGGTGAGATGGAGGGACTCTGGGATGGAGTTCCAGGGAGTGGGAGCAGAGAGGCTGAAGGCCTGCCCACCAATGGTGGGGCAGGCAAGGCAAGGGACACGAATCAGGCCACCTCCCGCTGAATGGAGGGAGAGGGCAGGTTGGTAGGGGGTTAGGAGGTTGCAGAGGTAGGGAGGAGCAAGGCCATGGAGGGCTTTGAAGGTGAGCATCAGGATCTTGAATTGTATCCTCTGTATGATGGGAAGCCAGTGGAGTCGGGCAAGGATGGGGGTGATAGGGTCGCGGAGCCTAATGCGGGAGAGGACACTGGCTGCAAAGTTCTGGATGATCCGTAGTCTGTGGAGGGAGAAGTTGGGGAAGCCGACAAGCAGGGAGTTTGCGCAGTCGAGCATGGATGTGATGAATGCATGGATGAGGGTCTCGCCAGCATGCGGTGTGAGACAGTGGTGGAGCCGGGCGATTTTGCAGAGACGGGGAAAGGCAGAGCAGGTCATGGCACGGATGTGGGGGATGAAGGACAGTTGAGGGTAAAACAGGACACCGAGGTTCCGTATTGGCTGCGTGAGTCATAGAGAAGGGTGATGCTGACAGCACCTGAGGAATAGAGGCGCTGACGGAAACCAAGCAGGAGGGCCTCGGTCTTGTTGACATTTCAACTGGAGGAAGTTTGCTATCATCCAGGACTTGATGCCCGACAGTACAAACCCCCCCCACCTCCCCCAAACACACTGATTTGTATTATATCGATTAATAAAACTTGTTCAGAGCAGATTAAGTGCAAGATGCCATCTTCCCTTAGCATGGGTAGTGGTGTGTGCAGTGAAGAAGAAATGCATTTAGATGCAAATAATTGAACCTGGGTTTTACTGTCCAACAAATCCCCTGATGAAACAAAGACTTGCTGTTCAAACAAGTGAGTTTTTTTTAACAGGATGTAAAATATACTGTTTATTCACAATAACAGGCTACAATATTTGACTATCGTACACATTTTGTACACAAGTTAAGTAAACGGCAAGCCTCAACTTTTATGACACAAAATTCTGGGATTACAATGAAAGGAAACCAAGCGAAAAAAGACAATGGAATGATATGAATTTTGGCAACTGTACATAACAATGCATAGCACTTCTCAGCGTTTCTTTTAATCATGATGTGTAAATAAATTACAAAATACAAGCAACTTTATAAAACAAGGGCATCCTGAGTTTATAAATAAATTATGTCCTTCATACATAATGTGACAGGAGTGTTAGTTGGTAGCAGTTCCAGCTGTGAGATTAACTTTAGTTGATAGAGACAGAAAGACGTATAAACATTTAGAGCTGAAACTGCCTCAAGCACCATTGAGAGACAACTATTCGCAAAATATAATGCACAACTTTGGGAAAGACCACACAAAGCAAAACGTGCTTCTCAGGCAGATAAACACCTCAGTCCTGCTCTTTAACTGACTGCAGTGGAACCAAAAGGCATTGCCACCCCCAGGGAATGTCCTTGTTATCTCCAGGAATGGCTGTCAAAACTCATTGACCCATCAACCAATTCTAGTAAATGATTAACTTCTTTATGCCTTCAGAGTCTTTGATTGTGAAACAAAAACTCTTTTGGCAAAATTATTAACCTCACGAAAACCAACTCCAGCATTGATGGAATTGAAAATTCTCATTGACCGATTTGGCACATCCAGTAAGGCCTACACCCTAGCCTTAATAGTAGCTATATCTCCAGCAGCATCAGTTGTGCTGCTGTGATCATTATACTGATTTTTTTTGCTTTATTCTATAAACTAACTTTGTTTTGACACTTTCCATTTCTGCACAATCATTGATCTTTGTAGTTGGTTAGGAAGAGAAATATTGGAAAGGACACAGAGATTCGAATGTGCCTTCCCACCAGATGTCTTGATGTGGGCTTTGTTGTGAATCTCCCTAAATTACTCTGGATTCATTTTCTTCACCATTATCTGCAGCACAGCAGTGAACCCTAACATCTTTCACTAGGATTCTGCAAGATCCAAGCCGATACTATCATTACAGCATTATCTCTTGCTGCTATTTAGTGGTGACTATAGTTACACTGTACAAGATTTACATTTGTGTTTTAAGCAGGAGAATCCCTCTTCTTGGATACTTCTACCTGTTTGTAAAATAGTGTGATAATACTGTCATATTGTTGAACTGGGAATATTCAGATCCGAAATGATCGGAACTCTTTCTAACCCGGGTTCTTCTCATTCCCTATAATCCTCTTTCCATGTTAGCTTCTCCTGTTTGGGAAATGGTGCACCTTTTTCGTGCGGTGGTGGTGGGAGGAGTTGATGTAGGATGGAGGGGGTTGGCAATTGTTGCTCCACCAGGGTCCATCTTCAACTGGATTTTCTCCTTCAATTTGTCAGACTGGCAAACCCATTGTCAGGACAGATGTGGAGGATAAACAGCAGTCGGGTCAAGATGTGAAGTGGCATCTCCCTGTGAGAGGGAACACTGCCCATTCTGTTGCATCCTTAACTGGAGATTCCTAAACACCAATAGGTATAATCTGCAACTCATGGCACAATATTTGTATGAATCTAAAATTACATTCAACTCTCACTCTAACATCCTTCAGAGGGTGTGTGTGTGGGTGGGGGTGGGAGTGGGGGTCGGGGGCTGTGGGAGGAGGCATTTTACAGCGTTATAGGATCATATGTGTAATATAACTGTGAGCTAAAACATTTGGGAAAAACATCCAGCAAGTAAATACTGTAAGAGAGAGCCTCCCTTTGAGCGAGAGAGGACTTCCTCGTGTGTTTGTTGAATAACACCTCAGGAGACTGCAGGACACAATGTGACTTGTGTCTGCTGAAGAAAATGGGAGAGGCTAATCCACGAACGTTACAAAACACAACACACCCAGTCTGCAAATGGCACTTGCATTTACAGAGGGCAGCAGTGCAGGCAAGGTTTGAATTGTGGCATGTACACGTCTGTTCCAATTATCCCACTGATTGCAGTCGGCAGCCACAGTGAACTGAAAGGAAGTGTTCAAGGTTTTTCTGGCTATTTTTCAATTTTATGAATAAAGAGTCCTTTCCAGGGATCATCTGCCTGAGAGACTTCACAGTCTCTCTCTGAGTGGCCTTGATACTGTTAGTAAAAGACAGTCACTTTAATAATGTGCTGTTCCTGACAACTATCCTACTCTATAAATACAAGTTACGTAAAAACAGCAAGTAGTTAAAACACCTATTAAAACCATCTGATTTCATTCTTTACAGAAACATTATCTTTTTTTTGTTAAATGTACCTAGTCTGGATTTCAATGCTCAAAATCCACACTTCGATGCCCTGTACAATACGCCAGCCTTTATATCTTTTTTTAAAAAAAAGTACCGTGGAGTGTCCTTTAAAAATTGGTTCAAAACATTACCAAATCATTTTCCTTGACTCCACCCCCCACCCCCCCAACATCTCCCTCCGCACACCCCCCGACCCTCCACAAAAAGGTATGATTTTTGCTGTATTGCTGTATAGATTCTCCACCCTCTTTCCATCCCCCTGTTTTAAATCAGCTTTCTTTTGTCCTTGAGTTTGGTGAGACTGTGGATGCACATGAACAGGAATGGTATGCAGGTTCGAGTTATTACATCTGGACAGAATGCAGCCTGTGCGCAGGTTTACAAAACGGATACTGCTTCTATAACGTGTACAACAAACTTATCATCTAGCACCAACTGTACAATAATGAATTTGTTGTAAGATTTTGGAATAATATATAATAAAAGTTTACAAGGCACTTGTAGTCCTTTCTGTATATCCTTTCTCAGTAGCAGCCCTTCGTTCCCCTGCGCAAGGGTTGGGGTTGGGGGGGTGGGGGGAACTAGCGCAAGCAATTCATATTTACACCTAAATCAAAATTCCTCAAAGTGCTCAGTCTATCTCACGAGAGAACGTGTATCCTCACATTCCAATATCATCCCCTTTTCTCATTTAAAATTTGTTTGCATACATTCCTCTGTGAGAAATCTCTTTCCGCCTACATGCTCCATACTTTGCGCCTACACTCTTTCTCTTTCTGTTATCTTTGGATGTCTCCTTTTCAACTCCCCTCTTTTCAGCCCCAGCCCCGCCCTCTCTCACCCACCCACCCCCTTCCCGTTGTCATCATCTTCACCGGGAGCTTAACGCCGTCCGCGGGTGATATCAAAGCACGTGATCATCATGAGGTGGGCTTTGCAGAAATTGACCCGGTGCTGAAGACGTTCCGTGACGCACTCCAGGGCTTCCAAGTACTCCAGCGAGTCCACCTCAAATCCTTGGTCAAGGTCAACTGGAAGAGAAAGCAAGGCAATGGGTCAGGGCACAACCAGAATGTTCAAACACAGCTGGATACAAACATACTGACTACCGTTTTCTTGGAATTGTGGACTAGACCAGTTTAACTGGACCTTTGGTTTAATTATACCAGACTTTACACTCATTATTTGCATATAGGATCTGTCTTTCCTGGCTCTCCTGTTGGCTCAGTTGGTAAGGTAGTTTAGTCCAAGTGCGATCTCAGGATAAAGGATAAAGGATCTGGCTCAGTTATAATGCTTCTAGTTATTTAATAGCAACCAACATTCACTGACCAAACTCACACATGACCGCCCGAGATAGAGAGAGAGAAAGAAAGATAGAACAAGCTTGCTACTTCAGAAGAAGAAACAGAAGAAACTAGAAAAATGAAAATTATTTTGTCATCCCATATTCTGCCTGATATCTTCCCAACACCATATGCCAAACAATGGTTCAGAAGTTGAACCGTCTGTGTGGTGTGCCGCCCGCAGTCTATTCTGTTGCGTAACTAGCAGAGAGCAAAAACCTGTTTTGTGTCCCCTGTCCGATCTGCCTCACAATCAGCGGGCAGGCTTTCAGCAATTCTGCCCCCACTCTGTGGAACTCCATCCCGAGTTCCTCCAACTCGCTCTCTCCCTCAACTCTTTTAACTCTCCTACTTCCAGCTCTGGTGCCCAGCCTGTGAATATGCTTTGTACTGTACTGTGTCAGAACCACGGAAATTTATAGCACATAAGGAGACCATTCGGCCCATTTTGTCTGTGCTGGCTCCTTTAGGAGCAACCTTTCAGTTTAATTTACCTGCCTTTTCCCCATCCTTGTTGTATAACTAAATGTAAGAGCCATTTCTTTCTAACAATATCTTCCTTCCTGCAGCACAATAGCAAAGAGAGGAAGTACCCTAACATGGAACAAATATCGGTGCTTTCACCTCAGCAGCAGTCTGCTTATGAACGGGAACTGACAGGAAGATAATTAAAGCATCTTGGTTTTACAAGTCACTCTCTTCCTTTCCTCTCCCGAGTAATATTCCCATTAAGAGGATGGAATGTTATCCTCTTCCCACAAAAATAAATAATACACTTTGTGCATTCGGTTCCAGATTATTCCCTGCTCTGCAATCACTGCTAGTCGCTTCTTGGTCAGTACAACACAATTTACATTTATATGCAGTTCATGTCGGGAGGACATCTTGAAGCTCTTGTGCACTATCACAGTTTAATTTTACAAAAGGAAGCCCACATCTGCTCAGGTACACCCTTCCAGGATGTCATTTCTTCTGGATTGATTGTGTTTCTCCTCTACTATCACTGTGACCTCACAAAGGAGATCAGTGCAATGACCAAAGTATTGCCTGCAGATCTGCACAAAACTGCCTGCAAAACTAATCATTTTTAGAATATGTCCTTTCACAGGCCTGTGCCATGTCGCTTGTTTTCAGTGACATTCCTCGCCTTTGTGAAAAACAGCAAGCCATTTTTTCCCTTGTGCCTCCCTGCAAAAACATAACCTCAGCTCTATTTACTTCAATGAGTTTGCAATGACTGCTTTTCTCAGACTTGGGCTAGTTGACCTTGGCAGCAATGCCTTTCACAATGCACAGGCTCTTGACTAACAGGTCAAAGATCAGCAGGTACTTACACTCGCTGATCCATTTACTGGGATCCAACATCAGTCTCTGCTTGGTGGCTTCCAGCTCCTTTTTCAGCACTTCATATTTGGTTTTGACATCTGAGATCCTTTGCTGTCGGTGCTCCAGTATCTTCAGCTTTGCATTGAAACATACAAATCCCCGCAACTAGAAATTGGTTTTAAAAAGAAATAACCATAATTTGGACTTTTTAAAAAAAAATCCCAGTTGTTCCCATTTATTTTGGGTCTTCCAAGGGCCTGCCCAGCTAGAAGATTGGTAGTGTTGTTTACAGGCCTCCCCACAAGAATTTTTCTTTTGGTCAACTGGGTGTCTGACACACAGAAACCCATCATCGTGCTTAAGAGTATCCAAACCACATATTTAGAAGTCTTACACTCGTGTTCAAATCCATTCATTCTCTGGCACCTCCCTACCTCTCCGATCTCCTCACTCCCCAATCCACCTGCTCCCCAGTCTCCTGCTCGTCCCTCGCACCCTCAGTCTCACCATTGGTGATCGCGCTTTTAGCCACTGCAGCCCGAAACTCTGGAACACTCTCCCTCAACCCCTCTCTCCCCTTTTTAGGCTCCTGCCTGAAGCCGTTCCCCTTCGACCGTGCTTACGGCTACCTCTCCACCACTCTCCCCGGCTCAGATTCAGGTTCCGTCACTGTTAAGCTCTCTTGAGACGCTACCCGGCATGGAAAGCGCTATATAAGTGCAAGTTGTTTTTGTTCTTGTATGCAACCTTCACATGGGCATTTCCCTGCATTTAGAATAGAATGTATACTCAGCCAGTGTTTTAATTGGCTATTGCAACACCGCAATGGGCAAATCTTTACTTCTGAAGATCTACAAACCTTGTTGTCTGCTGCCCGCCTCCTTTGCAGTCGCTCCACATCATCAATTTCATAAACTTTGATCTCAAATGGCTCTGCCATCCCTCTCTGTACAGGCCGCAAGTCAACCCAGCGGACACCAGAGCTGTTTGCCGGCTTCCGTGCTGGGGACGCCGCATCAGGGGACAAGGTAGGCAGAAGACGCCGTCTCTGGGAACCTGAAACAGGAGACAAAACCAAACAGTGGGATCTGACATGAGCTTAAGATAATAATAATAATTTTATTTGATATAACACCTTATCACTTCAAAACATATCAAAGCACTCTTCTCAAAGAGTTTTCTCTAAAGCAGAGTGTTTTTGCAAGTAAACTCTGCAGCCAATTTGTGCACAGCAGCCTTGATCATTCGAATGTAATGGCGACACTGTGATTTTGAAATGTGATCACCTCTTTTTTTTTGCAAATCTGATTCTCGGTCCTGACACCAGGAGAAAATCCCTCTTTACAAATAATACCATGGGATTTTTAACCTGAACAGATTGACAGGACTTCAGATTAACATCTCCATCTGACAATGCAGCACTCCCCCCAGCACTGCACTGGTGTAAGCATAAACTATCAGATCTGGTGTGAATAGTTTATGTGTCAGAATGTTTCAGTTACAGATATACCCAGATGTGCTGCAGGTGCCTGACATCGCTCTCAACAATAGTTGCTATGAATGTCTGCTTAGACATTCAATTCCTGCTCAGTTGGATCGCATCCCATGAAGTACTGCCAGGACCCAATTTAAGAAGAAATTCTATAATGTTTCAAAACGCTGTCTGATCTGAGATGTGATGAAATGGTTTTAAAGCTGAGGTCATGAGAAAATTTGGCCTTCTGGTGCCGTCTCACTTTCACAAACTCCCCATCTGAAAAACATTAGCAGAAATGGTGGAAAGAGGACGGGTGATATTCCTGAATATCAGGCAACTGTGGGCGACACAGAGAAGGAACTAGTGGCATTGGCATTCTCACTGCCATTGTCTCAGTGAAATAACTCCCGAAGACGAACGGAAGATGGCTATAAATCAGGATACTATTAAAGGGAACATGGTAAGAAATTACACTAATGTGCTCTGATTTGCATATGTAAATTGGGTCAATTAGCTTCCAGACATTCGCTTAAAATGAACCCCCACCACCCTCCACCACTCCCTGTATGTCTTATCTTTATGAAACTTAAACAGAATAATTGTTATGCCATAAGGGATGACATATTAATGAATTATGCTAATTGGTCTGAATTTACTATGCAAATGCAGTTAATTACAAAATAATCTTTCCCCGGAACTCAAAAGCTTTAAGTCTTATCTTTACAAAACTAGGGAGGGTACCAGTGGCTTAACTTCAGGGAATACTCGACTAAAATAGATTAGAGAAAAGAAGTGTTCAGTCCTGCATAACCCACAGCTCATTAACCTTTAGTTCACAATCGGAAATGCATTCAAAGGTGCAACAGAACTGTGTGTGCAGCAGGCAGAAGGTTGATTTAAATACAGATGTCCCTCTATCAAGCAGGAAGATCCTGTTTAAAAGGCTTTACCCATCTACTCTTAATATCCCTCAGTCGCTCTATTGTCTTCTCAGGCCATGCTACAATTCAGGAGTAAGTGAGGCAGGATATGTGAGAATGACCCAATCATTCTCCTGATTCTATCTCTCATGTGTATACTTCTGCACAGTTGCCTCTCCACAATTGTTCAGTTGAAATCAGGATACATAGCTCCCAGCACGGTCTGGAAAGGAATGTAACCTGTGTCACACCACTCTTCGGTGCCACGATAATAATAATCCTTGCATTTCATAGAATCATAGAATCATAGAAACGTACAGCACAAAAAGAGGCCATTCGGTCCATCGAGTCTGTGCCGGCTCTTTGAGAAGAGCAATGTAATGTCAATCCCACTCCCCAGTCCTTTCCCCATAACACTGCAAACCCATCCTCCTCAAATACCCATCCACCGCGTTTTTAAAAGTAGTTATTGAATCGGCCTCCACCACCGTTTCAGGCAATACGTTCCAGATTCGAATAACTGCATGATAAAATTTCTTCTCACCTCCCTTCTGCTTCTTTTAGATACTATTTTGAATCTGTGACCTTGAGTCACCAACACACCCACCAGTGGAAACAGTTTTTCCCTTTCTAACCTATCAAATCCCCTCATGATTTTGAAGACCTCTATTAGGTCTCCTCGAAACCGTCTCTGCTCCAATGAGAATAATCCTAACCTCCCTAGCCTTTCCTCATAATCAAGGTCCCTCATTCCTGGTACCATCCTCGTAAATCTCCTCTGCACCCTTTCCAATGCCTTAACGTCCTTCCTATAGTGTGGTGCCCAGAACTGGGGGCAATATTCTAACTGAGGCCTAACCAGTGTTTTATGTAGGTTTATCATAACCTCCTGACTCTTATACTCTCTGCCCCTATTTATAAAGCCCATATGCCCTTTTTACAGCTTTATCTACCTGTCCTGCCACCTTCAAGGATTCATTTACCTGCACCCCCAGGTCTTTCTGTTCCTTCACCCCCTTAAGATTGTATTACCAGCCTATATTGTCTCCCCTCATTCTTCTTTCTAAAATGCATTACCTCGCATTTCTCCACATTGAAATTCATCTGCCATGTGTCTGCCCATTTTTCTATTCTGTCTATGTCTTCCTGCAGTTGGCTACTATCCTTCTCACTGTTTACCACTCTATCTAACTTTGTGGCATCCGCAAACTTGGAAATGGTACTTGCTATACCCAAGTCCAGATATTTTATGTATATTAAGAAGAGCAGTGGTCCTAATACTAATCCCTGGGGATCCCTGTTCACTTCCCTCCAGTCAGAAAAGCAACCGTTCACCACAACTCTCTGCTTTCTGTTCCCCAGCCAGTTCTGGATCCATGCTGCCACGGTCCCTTTTATAACATGGGTTTCTATTTTTCTTACAAGCCTTTTATGTGGCACTTTGTCAAATGCCTTTTGAAAGTCCATATAAACTACATCAACTGCACTACCTTCATCCACCCTCTCCGTTACTTCATTGAAAAATTCTATTAGATTTGTTAGACAAGATTTGCCTTTAATAAATCCATGTAGGCTGTCCCTAATTAACCCATATTATTCTAAGTGAAGATTTATTCTGTCCCGGATTATAGTCTCCAGGAGTTTCCCCACTACTGATGTTAAGCTGACTGGCCTGCAGTTCCCAGGTTTGTCCTTCTGCCCCTTTTTGTACATGGGAGTCACATTGGCCACTCTCCAGTCCTCTGGCACCACCCCTGTGTCCAACGAAGATTGAAAACTTGTAGCCAAAGCCTCCGCTATTTGTACCCGTGCCTCTCATAGTAACCTTGGCTGCATCCCATCTGGACTGGGTGACTTATCAACCTTCAGCCCAGTTAACCTTTTCAGTACTTCTTTTTTTCAGCACAGCTCACGTCTTCTTGACTTCTCAAAGCACTTCACAGAATAGACTGTAAAGTGAATTGACCATATATTTGTGAGGGAAAAGTGGCAGCCAATTACGCACAGCAGTGTCCCACAAACAGTCGTGGATTAAAAATGACCAATTTATTATTGTTTTATTTTGGAGGGATTATTATTAGGCATGTGGAGCAAGGAAATTTGCCCAAGGTTTTGCCCTGCCTGGAATTGAACCCAGGTCTCTCACTTTCAAGGCTAGTGCTCTAACCACTGAGCTACAGGACTCCACATTGTCACCCTGTCAGTTGTTCCACCACATAACATGTTCCTTTTTTCTTTAACAATAAGAGCGCTTCACTCTTCTACCTAGCTAAGATGGTGAATTGCTTTATAAAGAGCATCCCACAATATTCACTCAACTGTAAAAGGTTAAACCATCATAAATGACAAAACACCAGGCCACAAATTGGAACAACTAAACGCCATTGCCTTGCCGACAGGTATTAATGAAAATCTAATTGTATACATGGTTGAATCTACCCTCCTTTCAAATATGATTAAATAATTCAAGTTTATCCATACAAAAGTGTAGCCTGCCCCAGTGTGCTTTTGATAGAGGATCTTTTGACTTCCAATTTTGGGCTATCAGTCTATTGAAGCAGCGTTATTGCCTCTTACTCAAAAAAGCCCCCCAAGGTTTTTTATTTATATCTCAACGATGGATCAAAGTTCAATCTCATTTCATCCTGGACTCATGCAGCACAGCTCAGAGTACACTCCTATCATCAGACTGGGCTGGATTCGAACCCAGGTTCCAGTGTTGAAGGAATAGATGTTTATTAAATATCTGTGTTTACAAGAGGCCAGTCTCCCTGCAAAGATCGATATTCAGATAAACAGTTCTTAATTGCAGGCAATTGCAGGTATTGTGAGAACAAAACAGAAGCATATTCATTCCATGCATCTCCCTCGTAAATGGTTGCTATCACTGTTGCAGATGGATCTCCCATATCACGCTGTGCTCATCAATGCTGGATGTTTGAACAATAACTGATAATATGATGTGCCTCCAATAAAGGTATGATACTGCCACAAGATGAGAATATAATGCAGATGAATATGTTTCTAATGACTTCCATGGAGTGTGATAGTTACATGACCTGACTCTCGATAGGGCCAGGAGAGGAGAGGGCTCCTTCGAGGGCAAGCTGACAAACTCTACGATATTTAATAGATGGTATAAAACCAACCCGAGACAAAACAAAGCAAATAATTTGGTAAACAGATCATGAAAAGAAGCGATGGTATGAATAAAACGGAATGAAGGAATGAATCCACGAATAAATGATATTGTGGGACGCTCATTGTGATGCAAAAATTCCGCAAAGCACATATCCCCCATTGACTTTTCAAAAGGTCAGAGTTTAGAGGAGTCAGGAGTCGTAATTAGATTAAATGCTGCTGCAGTTTCTTCAAAAGATGCAGAAACCATCTGTTGTAGCAAGATAACACCAATTGCTGCTTTAGCATGGTTTGTTCAAGGTGAAAGTGGGAATGTATTTTTGCCTGTTTATCAGCTAAGATCTAATTCACCAGCGAGACATTTTATACATAATAGAATTTTACTGATTCATAATAAGCAAGTTTTATCTAAATTATACAGCTCTCCAGACTTTCAGTGCTGACAGTCGTTGGCCAGACTCCTTGCTCCACAACCAAAGACGAACCACAATGGATTTCCACTGGCCGGCCTTCTCCAG